ATCGTTCATTCAATTTCAATATTACATAGCCAACTCTGGTGCTTAAGCTGCTGATCTCAAGTATATTGTGTACATGTCGCCTATTTAACAGAAGTCCGTGATTTTGGATGTATTTGTGAAAATATCATTTGGAATATATTCTAACAACATTTCCAAACCAATGTTTTCACACAAATGTTGTTTATATCTTTTCGAAATATTTTCTTAGCATCGGTAATAACTTTTCGCTTGGTAACCATTTCTGTCAACATATTTATCCTTACAACAAGACAATGTGTAGCACAGCCCCAAAACAACTCCATAAGCTGAATATGTTCATTTTCGCTTAAAGATACTTTGTTCACTTGGTCCAAACTTCTTCCAAAATCCTTTAATATTAGAGCAAAATTTTCTCAGCTATAACAGTGCCGTCTCTAGAATCGGGTTGAATTTTTGGGATTTATTATTGAAGATGGACAAATACAGTTGTTACACAATCCAAAATTGATAATTGGAAAATCCAAATTGACCATGATAAGTCGGACAAATTTCGAAGTACTTCATCATTAGGAAAATATTATTCCTATCTATACAGGGTGTATCAGGTTTGAGTACAAATATTTTAACATGTCGATAATATGGCCCAAGGTAAAACTGTCCCATTAACTATGGCACGTGGGCCAATTTTTAATATTTTCGGAGTTATCCCAGAATTTAAATTCAGAAAAATGTTAACAATGTGACAGCATTGTACAGATAATTATTCTCCGTGGCATCTGAGATAAAAATTAAATAATACTTACTCAGCTACTTGCCAAATCCTGATTATGCAAATAATAATTTTTGTTACAAGGTTTTCAAAACACTAAAATCACAAAAATTGAAGACAAAATACACTGCGCAGAAAGTTTCCAATAAACAACTAGAGTATTGATACACGATAGGGGTGAAGCAAATTTTGTTAGAGCAGGGTCCGAAAAACTGGTTGAGTGGGAATATCTAATTTGTTGAACAATGGATCGAGTGCTTATTCCAGGGTCCCTATTCTTGAAACAGGGAAGCAGCCTTTTTAGGAAAACGAGGGTTCCGTCTTTTTTACTTATATTATCAATTGAATATCATTGAGAAAGCCGGAACAGTCGTTTTCTTGGGAACGCTGCTCCCCTGTTTCAAGAATAAAAACCCAGGGCTACTTATACTATCGCTAAAATCTGTTCTTCATCGGCAAGCCAAATGACAGGCTTGCAGGTCCCCGATTAACATTTTGCACACTTTCACTTCCCGTATCACGCAATCTTTGCAAAACAGGCACAACCAATGCTCTTTCAGCAGGTGCCGTCCTATTAGGAAATCTTTCCCTATAAACTCTGGCAGCTAAAAAAGCATTTGGTAACGATTCTCCATAAACAATTAACATATCTGCATTTTCGACGTTTGTAAGATTTTATTTTCAAAAAAGAAAGTAACTGACAAATCAATTATTATCGGTTCAACCACCTGTTTTTTGTGTGCTATGTTGTCAGATGTTTAGAAACCGAACTACGAATAACATTGTCATGTTATTTTTTTAAATTTTTATTTATCGTTTTTGTGCATAATTCCTCAATAATCAAATGAAAATAATTCAAAACTTCGAAAGCCTTTTTCTTGAAAACGGTTGAGTTTTGACCCTATCTTGTATAAACTTTTTTTGTTAAAAGACAAAATGGATCATATTTACAGGTGTTAAAATTTCAGTGAAATCCTGTATAGATACGAGCGAAATACCACTGACTCACACGCAAACTCATAACGAGATCTCCAAAACTATACGGCCGATTGATTCGAAATTTGAAATACTCCTTTCTCGACAAAGACCTTCACTAAGAACGGATTTTATGGAACTCCTATCCAAAACGGATTCTTCACACAAAAAAAAAAATCTTCCAAAAATTCCAATGTCTAAATCAATCAGTTGTCAAGGAAATGTAAATGTAACAGAATTAGTCGTAAGATGATTCATCGCCATCATCCTCATCTTCATTGTCATCGTCTTGATGTTCATATTGAACATTATCATCATTTTCTTCTTCTTGAATTTCCAGCTTATTCATAAAGGAACCAATTGGATCAACCAAATCATTTATCGAACAATAGAACAAGGAAACTAATCAGGGGGGCAATTTTTGACCGTTCGTAACTATATAAAATCTACGTAAATGTGCGAAGACTACGAAATCCCATTTCTGAGTATTCGCATCTTTACGTATGCGCACATTTTTATACGTTTCACTGCGAGCGGCGAGAAACTCGCCGATGTGTTGCGTATGCGCTGTCGTACCTACATTTGTGGTTATATCGGCTGTTATTATTTTGTGAATGTGCTCGCAATACGAAATATGGAAATAGCAGAGCAACAAAATCGACCAAACAACCAGTATAACCCTCAAGATCCATTCATAGTGCTTAACTATCAACAATTTATCAAGCTCTTTCGATTAGGAAAATATCTTTCTTATACGTATTTGATCTAATGCTTGGAACCTCACATTCATCCAGCACTGCAGATTACAGACTTCATTGTATAACCACAGCATATACAAAAACAATCAGCAGTAGGCTAACTCGAGCTTTGTATCCTAAAATGCGGCGTGCGCAGAAGAGATACGCGTTAAATCTCATGGTTCTGGCTTATAAGACAAGCTGTATCCTCGAATGGCGGTGTGCGCAGAAGAGATGCGCGTGATAGAACCTGCAATTTTTTCTGCTCTTTTATTGCATTTGCTTTCTGTTTCTTCTTGTTTTCCGACATTTTTCATAAAAAAGTAAAAATTTGTCAAAAGTCGACAGTTGACACAACCTATTTTTTTCCCTCAGTAGTTCAAAATACTTCAAAAATCTATCAATTTGCAGTGTTGCCTGATCAACCCTGCGTAATGTTGCGAATGCCTTAACTAGACGTCTTTTGACTTGCGCATGTCATCCAAAAATTGGTACAAAGAAAAGTCTACGTTTCATATCGTGCGCATCTTTAAGCATACGCAAATAAACGTACATTCCCAAAAATTGGCCCCCAGGTATAAACCACACACTTATGTAAATATTCACTTTATTAAAAAAGCAACCATGCTGCTGCGATTTGAAGTTGGATGGTTTTTCCTGTTATGAAAAGCTTGGTTTAGGAAGTTGCAACATAGGGATTGCGCATGCTATCTTGCTGTAGCTATATTATATCCCTGTGGTTTGAAAATAAAGCACTCAAAGTTGGTCCCTTGAAAATTCCTTTGACCCTATTATTCAATCGCCAATAGACCTGTCTCGCATGATTAGAAAAAGTGAGCTTAATTGTAATAAATACAAGTTAGAAAGCAATAGAGGATGACATGCGCGCGCAACTCGTAGGCTGCAGTGTAGCCAGATTCTATTGTTGCAGAACCAAATGTAGACAATACAAATCGAACAGTATGACATTAAAGAAGTGATATAGTGTCGAGGGTTTTACAATGCCTTAAATCAGACAAAAGAAGAGCTTTAAAGTGGATGACTATCGTTTGCACTTTTATTTTGATAAATGTTTCATCCGGCAACATCGCTCAATGAATATATGTCAAGTATAATCTAACATAACCTTAAACGAAACTGCGGTGAGTTCAAGTAATATGTAAAGTATTAGTTTGCTCTTTGTCAAATTACACGTTACAAAGAAAGAAGGAACGATTGATTCTGAACTGGCTCCTGAATTAGAATATGACGCAAGCCTGTCACAAACTTGCTTCTCATTGGACGCTCACCTGCAGCCTACAAGCGACGCGCGCAGTCCAGGTAATAGGAGATCGGTCTATTAGCCCATTCCAATTTAGTTTTGACACTTTAAATGTAAATTTATTATTTCGTCCAAAAAGGAATCACGGAAGTTATGTCAATGTGAATTCTCAATTGATTAGCCCATTCAACATAAAATGATACCCTGTTTTAATCCAGCTGGATTATGCAAGAATATTTTTTGCTGTGAATTCTATCAAAATATCATCACTTCGATGTTTATTTATCATTTTAAGGGTTGAATTCTCCTTGCTGTTTTCCTTTTATATATTGTCTTCAATTTCACATGAGTCTGAACTATCATCAGATGGTTACCATTTTTCTAAATTAGATTTCAAGCTTCGTCTTTTTTTCATCTTCCTGAAAACATTTGAGTTTCTTCTGCATTTCACGAGATGGTTTTCTGTGGATAGAGATTGTACTTCAATGGCACTTAAACTATCATAGTCATTGAATATACACATATTATGAACTGCATTTTCATCCAGTTCTACATTACTGTGAATAATTGGCCCATCAATTTGCTTCCCTATTGGTTACTTTGCTCTTATAATATCATCTAGATGTTCATAATCATTGATGTCTGACTCATCCATTTGCTCTTTTGCTCTTGCTGTATTGTCCAAATCTTTGAGATCGTTGATGATTGGCTCATCCATCTGCTCTTACCTCGGTTTGTCAGCTTTTGTTCGTTTATTTTCTCATTGCACTATCTTCTATTTATCTACTTTTTCTGGGTGTCAGAGGGAACTATTTCACACTCACTTTCGAAAAATGTTGGCTCAAAAGAAGTATATTTAGTTTAAGTGTGGACCGTCGTATGTATTACATATACTTATGAGAAAGCTAAATATAGAATCCAATGTGCTCCACATTTTTATAAATATGAATGTGATGTAAATTTCAGCCACATGAATAATTTATAGGTTATTACTGAATACAGACAATAATGCGTTTCAAATTACCTACTTCCCACGATAACACAAGGCATACTGACAATATTGAATTGAGTTCTGATATTCAACTTGTATTAGTTTGATAAAAAACAAGTCGTTAGTCGTTGATGGGTAAAACTAATTTTCATTGAACCACTATTCAAATAGATTTCTTTAAATATAAAACACGCAAATCAAGAGCTAATAATAATATTTATTTCAAGTGGGACCAAACAGATAAATAAATAATGTCTAATGTTAATAATTTGACACTAATTATTGAAGACTTTATGGACAATTTGACTGCGACAAATAATACTACTGCTACGAACAATACTACTACAAACATTTTTCCTGCGCATCATCAGTATCAGTATCCTTCCGGCTACGCACCTGCGCAATTAATCGTAGCCTCTATCATAGGCACTTCGTTGATGATAGTAGTGGTCGTAGGCAATATGCTGGTAATCATCGCCATTACCACAGAAAAACAATTAAAAAACATCCAAAACTGGTTCATAGCCTCGTTGGCAGTAGCCGATTTTTTCCTCGGACTAGTAATAATGCCTTTTTCGTTGGCCAACGAGCTCATGGGCTACTGGACTTTCGGGCCGTGGTGGTGCGACGTGCATTCCGCGATGGACGTTCTGTTGAGCACGGCCTCTATCATGAACTTGTGCCTGATCTCGTTGGACCGGTACTGGAGCATCACGCAGGCTATCGAGTACTTGAGGAAACGGACGCCCAGGAGGGCGGCAATATGGATTGGGGCGGTTTGGGCGGCAGCCGCCCTCGTTTGTATACCGCCGCTGCTCGGCTGGAAGGTGGAACGGAGAGAGGAGGAGCAATATCCACAATGTCAGGTGAGTTAATAATATTTAAGCAATGCAATTTACAAAGGACGAATAAATAGTTTAGAGAAAAAAAATTGTTTGCCATAAAAACATAAAGTTACATGTGAAAAAAAGACTTCGAAAATATCATAATTCATACACATGAGATAAAAAACGCATGAAACTTCTATTCTGTTGAATTCAGCGCTCCAAGTTTAGTAAGATTCTAAAATCTGTTCGCACTCGCAAACTAGTGAGAACCAATCTGGGAAAGTTACCTATTTTAGAATGAGTTTTAAACCTATCGGAAATGCTCGAGAAAATAAGTACCTTATGAAGAAATATCGTATATTAAAACATTGTCTATAAGGCAACGGGCCAACAACGACAAAACAACAAAATTAAAATTAAAAGCCAACGGGCTAAAACAACAATAATTTACCAGTTAAGAATCATAATTTTAACGACACTAATTTTTTTATTAAATGTTTAAAGCCCCATCAATCATTATTTGCCAGAGAATACGAATGACAATCATAGAACTCTTCCAGTCTTGCTCAACATCGATGTTATAAGTGCAACTTCGGTGCGATTATATTGCAGAGTTCATAGAAAATTAACTGGACGATTTTTGTAGACGCGGTACCCCACGAAAGTGCAGTCATATCAGGAGACCGAGATGACCATGCCAATGCACTACTTCTTCTCATCAGCCTGCCTGGCTTCCCTTAAATAGGGGACGAAGCACCGTCATATTGGGTACCAGATTTCACCTACAATTACATTTTGTTGAATGGCACGAACTATATCGTCTCTTAGGAGCTCGAAATACTTCTTTCCAGTTAATGTACCTACCTTCTAAGAAAAAAGGACCCATAATGTTGTTACACAATATTTCCTCCCACATTTGCTTTCCGTTATAAAGCTCTTCCACCCAATGGCCGACACCTCTAGACTGTATACCAATTTCTACAATTTTGTCTTAGAACTTGTAACCCCTTTGTTAATAAATTAACAAGAGGCCCATAATATGCTCAGTTTGCTCATCGAATAATTATGAAGGGTGGGTCAATAGTTTAATAAGTATAGAATGGCAAGGGCGCCACTGAATTTGTAAATAAATAAATAATTAAATTACATGAAATATTGAAGTGTGAAAATTCAGAAACACACCTAAAAAAAATAATCAGCAAACCTTAATTGATAATTCTGAAAAGGAAATAGATAAAGCATATACCTCAACCAAATCTTGACATAGGTAAAACCAATAAAACACTCAGCAATTTTCAAATCAAAATAGTTATATTTTCACAGTGAGGTTAAAAATCACGAAACAAATATTTCAAAAAGATAAAATCAATTGTTGGTAAAAACTTTAAATAAAATCAATAAATATAGGTAAACTCAATCAGATTCACCAATTTAAAAAAAAAAGATAAATATAACAGCTGGCCATATCATTATCATGAAATGAAAATATAAAAGATTTAAGTTCCCAGAATACTAATTTAAAAAAATAAATAAATGATTGAAAATTGTATTGATAAATAGTCAGCTTCTCTGAGCTTCTGCTAAAAGAATAAATTCAATAAAATCAAATTGCATCTGTATGAAATCAAACGTTAAATGGTCAGGAGATATAATAGAAATCCTTAAATATATAAGTTATAGGACCTAGGGATCGACGATGCAAGGTCCGTCGATTTTAATCTGATACTTCAAAGGAATGTGGTTAGTGGCTCCCTACATTAGAACGCCAATGGTAAGGTACCTGACGTCACACCTGTTTTTGCCATTTGCTTCATCCCCTCGCTTTTCATACGGAAAGTGTCAGATTAGATTAAAAACGATTTACAATAGGTACTTACTCAATAATTTTAAATTTAGAACATGTTGTCCAACCTTGACTTCAGTTCAGAATATTGATTCTGATTTAGTGTGGGAAGAATCCCAAAATGATCATTTGAACACAAAATCACAACATAAAATGAAATTTCATTATTAGACATTTGATAAAAGTAACATAAAATCTTTCATATTAGGAAATATTTATTTTCATATTTTGCAAATTGAAGGCGGGGTACTGGGAAGATTTTCTTTTGGATTCAGAGTGAAGCTTGGAGCTCGATTTGGATTTTTTGTTTTTGGTTTTCTTTTCTATGCAAGAACTGGATTTGTCGGTTACTGTAGGATCTAAAAAAAAAACAATTATTGTTGAAGCGCTTGCGTAAATGGAGACACTTCCTTTCAGGACGTCATTTTGAACTTGCAACCAATCAAGAAGCAAGAAGCTGGTTAATTTATGTTCCATTCTTAGCAGTCAAGTGGAATAAAAAATCAGAAAATCATGAGGTACCTAGCGATTAAAATTGTCTTGCTACTGTTACGACATTAGCTCTGTTTCAACCCACATGAGAACCGTCTAGAACGGTAATTTCCAGTCGATCAATTCATTTTGTCAAGTAGGATAAACGTTCGACTTATTGAAAAATAGGTGGGCAACTGGAAATTACTGATTCTGGAACGGTTCTCATATCGGTTGGAACAGAGCTATTATTTACCGCCCCATGGGCACGATAATATAGTTGCTGATATATTTTAAAGAATTTGCGGAGCAAGTAATAATAACAGTAACTGACTTTTTCACCTTTTTCGAGATTTGTGTCCGTCAGTTGCAAGAATAAACTATTTTAAACGTACAAAGTACCTAAGTACCCATAAAAATCCGATATCATCTCATAAAAGCAACAAGTCCGTTTTTACGACTTAACATAGATTTAAGAGGTCCCATAACTAGTTCTTCAAACAATAAATATATCTCAACTATTATGGACGAATTTTCTCGATTTCCTTTCGCATTACTCTGTCCTGATACTCTTACCTCCTCAGTTATCGAATGCTTATATCAACTTTTCTTTGTATTTGGTATGCCATCTGGCATCCATTCCGACCGTAAGTCTTTTTTTATGTAGGTATATTATTATGTCTGTATATATGTCGTTTTAGAACGTCTTTCTTTTTTGTCTGACATCTAATTTCCATCCTCTTCTATCGTTGTAATCCTCTGATGATAGATTTCTTTCACTCATGGACTTTTGTATTGTCTTCTGCCATTTCAGTTTTGGTCTTCCTCGTTTTCTTCTACCTGTTGGTTGCCATTGCAGCATTTTTCTGGGCCACCTGGTATTTGGTATTTGTTCTACGGTTCCGTATGAGGTAAGTTGCTTCCTACCAATATCCTGAACTATCGTGCCTTCTATTCCCATTTGTTGTTTTGTTGTTTTATTCATTCGCATGGATCTTCTAATAGCATTCATGTAAACTGCTTTTACTTTCTTCTTTTGTCTGTCTGTAATTCTCCAAGTCTCGGCTCCATGTAGGATGCTGCTCTTTACTATTGTCTCGTATATAATATATTTTCTCTTCTTTGTTATGTCCTTGCTCCATAAGAATCCATTCAGGTATCCTATTACTTTTTTAGCTTTAACTATTCGCTTTTTTCGATTTCGATCTCTTTCACATCTGTTGCGGTGTTATCGAATGTGATACCTAGATAATCATATTCCTGACAATGCAGAATTTCCTGACCACCGTCTACTTCCAGTTCCATGTTTCCGTTCTAAGTACCTACACATACATATTTTGTTTTATTTATATTAACTTTCACGCCTCATCCTTGGTAATCTTCTATCAGATTCTATGATTTCTAATCATATATTACATGTCATCTTCGTCACTGATCATCTGCAAACTAGAGAGTAAACAGGCACCTATCATTTTTTCTCTGTGCTCATTCCATGTATGTTTTTCCAATTTTTTAGTGCTACTGCTACGTATATTTTGAAAAGCTGAGGAGAGATTCAATATCCTTGACGTAGTCATTCATTCATTATAAATGTGTGAGTTTTTCACCTATCTTAATTTTTGATTTTGATTCTTTATAATATAGTTCTTTAAGTGCCGTTATATAGTGATTGATGTTGGATTGTTCTGATACCAATACCTTCCATAGTATGGATGATACTGGGACTGTATCGTAGGCTTTTTGTAAGTTCACAAATGTGAGGTATTTCCAAAGGTCTAGCAGATCTCTTCTCTATGACTTGTTTAAGGCAAAATACATTGTCTGTATCTGATATTCCTGCTGTAAATCCGTACTGCTCTTTTTCTTCTTTCTTTTTTAATCTTCCTTAATGAGATCACGCAGGATTCTACCGTATAGTCTGCTTAGTGTGCTTCTGACTGACAGGGCCGTAGCGATATGACTATCCCTAGGGGGGGGGGAGACTGAGATTCGGCGCCCCCTAAGCGCAGCGAAGGCAATTTAAAGGCGAGAAAAAATTAACTTTTTTGCAACTTTGACAGACTATAAAACCTTAACGGTTAATTTTAGACTTTAGAGCAATCATTTGACACCAACTTTGAATTAAATCCATGATTGGAAATTCCTTACAGCCTAACAAAGTTGCAAAAAAGTCAATTTTCAACTATCAATATTTCCAAAACAGAGTTGAACTTAGGTATAGGAATGAGTATAGGATAGATATCACATGAGATCTGCTAAGAATTTCACCACAGCATATCATATACAAAAACAAACAGCAGGTTAACTCTCACGCACATCTCTTCTGCGCAAGCTGCCATTTTTAGAATACAGCCCATCACGGCTACGGCAGAATCACATTATTTAACGCGTATCTCTTCTGCGCATGCCGCCATTTGAGACTACAAATCTCGAGTTAGCCTGCTGATTGTTTTTGTATAATCATCTATGATTTTATGTAGAATCAGAATACTCAATAATATACTAATATACAGGGTATTCCATTTAAAATAAGAAAGTTGCAAGTTAAACCTCGACCAGCTTTTCTGAAACATCCTTTATATGCGAAAGTAAGTTTAGAAAAAAAAATTGTTTCAACCATAAAACTTATATTTATTTTCTTTCTAAAATTTGAAATAAAAAAGATGTGTGACATTTATAATCAATAACCCTGTATTTCACAACGTCACTTTTCTTTTTCTTTTCC